CCTTCATCTCCTCCTTTTCTTAATTATACAAGGATCCTTTGCTCACTCATTATCAACTGATATAGGAGTAAGAATAGAATTTTATCAAAAAAATTAAATAAATTCCTATGAATTACTGTCAGAAAAAATAGAGTTTGTTGAATTTTTTTAAAAAAAACAAATTTAATTTCTGCTCTTGATGAATTTCTTATATTTAATTGAAGTTAATTGTGCTTAATACATGTGATTTTTTATTATTATTATTATTATTAAATTACATTAATATATTTACATGTTAAACAAAATTAGGAAAAAAATTGAGTATCGCCATAAATAATTTGACTCACAAATCCAAATTTCTTGTCCTCCTTTAGTGGGAGAAACATCAAATAGATTGGACTAAATTTAAAAATGAGATTGGTGTGATTTGTAGCACTGCTAATATCAGCAACATTAGTGACAATGACAGAAATTGATGGTGGATGATGGTGTTGGAAAACATATGTACACATATGTTTATGTTAGAACACATAATTATGCTAGAACACATAAACTTGTTGAAATTTAATTCAAGAATTACCTTTTGAAGCGTGAGCAGAAAGCTTGAAGCAAGTGCGACATCAGCTCTGCGATCTTATATAGTGATTCAAAGTTCACACCCGAACTCTCAATATACTTGTGTGGGCAAGTATCGTATAAAAAACTTATGATTTTCTAAGTTGGACAAACTCATACTTATAGAGATTTCTTCTCACCCCAAAAAGGAGAAGAAACACACGGTGTTCCTTTGGAACAAGAAAAATACATGTTACTTTCTCCCTTTCCCCTAATTTGATTTTGAGTTCTATTTAAATATGATCACGATAGGATTAATTACCAAGACTCTCTATTATGAAAATAATTCAAATAATTAATTTGAATTATTTTTACCATAATAAATTCAAATCATTTCACTAGATATACGTAATTGAACTCTTTCATTTATATTTCAAAATTCTCCATTAAACACTTTTATAATTCCCCATTTTAAGATTACAAATACTAATCAATACATTTAAGCTCGAGATTTTTATCCTAAAGTTAAGAGAATGTAACTTGGGAATTTTATCCTAAAGTTAAACTAATTATTTAATTAGAGTTGTGTGTTGATAAGATGTTATGAAAATGTTATTTTCTTCATTTAAATTTGTTTGATTTATTTTAATTTCATATAATATTTAAACAAATAAATATTTTTTTTGAATATTCAGTGGTCGTAAATTAAAAATATCTTAAATATATCAAAATGTCATCTAATTTTAGGGGGGAAAGTTAAAATTAGAGAGTTAGTTACTAAAAATGTAAAGAAATAATTTTTTTTGTATGGACTAAAAATGAAAATATGGAAAAACAAATTGAAAATGAGTAGTAAAGCAACTTAAGAGAAATATTTCGAGAAAATGATCAAAATGGTCCTTGATGTATTAGGGTTGCTTTATTTTGGTCCTTAATATATTTTAGGTGATTGAAACAGTCCTTCATATATGACAAAATGTGTTAAATTTAGTCTTTTACCCTAAACTTAACATTTTACCCTTAAAAAATGTTAGATATAATGGTGGGGCCCACATAACTTACAAAATCCACCATTTTTACCAATTTTTTTACCTCAAAGGAAGAGTTTCATGGATTTTAAAACACAATTTTCTCTAATATCTAGCCATACAATTACAAAATTATTTTGTAATTGTCCTCAGAGGTGGAACAACAATGTTTCCTGGTATTGCTGATCGTATGAGCAAGGAAATTACCGCTCTTGCTCCCACCAGCATGAAAATCAAGGTTGTGGCGCCTCTTGAACGGAAGTACAATGTCTGGATTGGAGGTTCTATCTTAGCTTGTAACGACCCATTTGGTCGTTTTGAGTACTAGAGCTTTGTATTTCATAAAAGACTCTTCTGATAGTTTCTAAATGGGTATTTTGGACTATTCGTAATTACAATTATAAAATTTATGGGGTAGTTTTAATAATTCATTAGTTGGCGAATATTTATGAAATAATTAATTTATATTAGTTGATGATTAATGGGTCAAGTCCATAATTGATTTTAATACCCTAAGTCTGACCTATGTAGGAAAATAAGTTAAGGAGTTTATTAATTTTTAGTCATAACACAAACTGATTGCGGCAAAAACCCTTAGAGAAGAGAACGACAAGATCTATCGTAGGTAAACAAATTTCAATTGAATCTATTCCCTGCCAATGTTAATGGTTGCTTGAATATAGTATTATTATTATTCGTATGATGTTAATGGAAGTATAAACTTAAACTGACAAATTTGGTTGCTTTGGCTTATCTACTTGGTTCTCCGAATCAAGTTACTTGTAATTTGGTGGTCCTTATCTTATTGTATTGTCATATGATTATTATATTGTAAAACACTATGGCTATATAAGGATGTCAATTGAATATTAATGGTGCATTGTGATTGGAAGGTGGAGACCAAACATTAATGAGGAGCAACTAAGGTTGTACTATGATTGTTTATCAAATTTGGTTCTGGGCGTTGTAATTGAATTGGGTTTGGATCGCTGTTAGTTCGTCTGCCACTGGTTTCGTAACCAGTGGCCTCAACTTTAATTATTTACTATTATTATTATATTATATTATAAAGTGGAAGTGTGCATTTGTATAGTATTTGATGTTAGATGAATGCTGAGAGAAAAGTTAGGCCAGAACATTAATCATGTAAAGAATTGGAGTATTAAGTGTGGGTGTATAGGTAGAGGTGTTCATTGCCACTGGTTTCGTAACCAGTGGCCTCAACTTTAACTATTTACGATTATTATTATATTATATTATAAAGTGGGAGTGTGCATTTGTATAGTATTGATGTTAGATGAATGCTGAGAGAAAAGTTAGGCCAGAACATTAATCATGTAAAGAATTGGAGTATTAAGTGTGGGTGTATAGGTAGAGGTGTTCATTGCCACTGGTTTCGTAACCAGTGGCTTGAACTTTTAAACATTAAAATGTTTTCATCTTATTATAAATTATATTTTGATGTATTGAGATATGTAATTATATATTAGGTATCTCGTATTATTTTAAATTTCATTAAAGATTATGCTAATTGGAAGAATTTTGAAAATCCTTAAGTTTGAACTTTAGAAAGTTGATTATAGTTTTGAGTGTTTATAGACTCGTTAACTTACGAATTATGCACATATAATTGATAGATTGGAAGGGTTCGGAGGCATTGAGGAAAGAATATATTAGGTATCTCGTATTATTTTAAATTTCATTAAAGATTATGCTAATTGGAAGAATTTAGAAAATCCTTAGGCTTGAACTTTAGAAAGTTGATTATAGTTTTGAGTGTTTATAGACTCGTTAACTTACGAATTATGCACATATAATTGATAGATTGGAAGGGTTCAGAGGCATTGAGGAAAGAAAAGGTATTGGAGAAGTAGCTTTTCCACTTTGGTTCTTCGGTGAAGGTAGGTTATGGTTTATTCTACTTGATAGATAGACTCTTAATAGATCGGAGTGTCACGTTCCGACACGGTATTTTTGGATCGGAGTGTCACGTTCCGACACGGTATTTTTGGATCGGAGTGTCACGTTCCGACACGGTATTTTTGGATCGGAGTGTCACGTTCCGACACGGTATTTTTGGATCGGAGTGTCACGTTCCGACACGGTATTTTTGGATCGGAGTGTCACGTTCCGACACGGTATTTTTGGATCGGAGTGTCACGTTCCGACACGGTATTTTTGGATCGGAGTGTCACGTTCCGACACGGTATTTTTGGATCGGAGTGTCACGTTCCGACACGGTATTTTTGGATCGGAGTGTCACGTTCCGACACGGTATTTTTGGATCGGAGTGTCACGTTCCGACACGGTATTTTTGGATCGGAGTGTCACGTTCCGACACGGTAACATTAAAGAAAAATATATTGAAATAACTTAATATACTTAATCTCAATGAACGCATTTCCCAAACGAGTGTGATGTGGGGGCATGAGTCCTCGTGTGTGTGCTTGATATTGTGATTGATTACATACTTGCTTCAACTGTCACTTGTTCATGTTGTTGTTTCTTATCACCTGCTAAGTGATATAGTTGACTTTATACTATTATTCATTGTATATTAGTTTCTATTTTGGGTTGGCCGATGATACCTACTCAGTACGTGTTCCTTGTACTGACCCCTACTTGTGTTTTCTTTGTTTTTCTTTTGTGGAGTGCAGTAAGTGTACCATCGACTTCGACTCGCCCTCAGCTCTAACCAATTTTCAGCGCATCAGATTTCAGGGTGAGCTATTCCTTCTAGCTGGTGCTGGATTCTCTCAGTCATGGCATGATGTCCTTAAACTTCGGGCATAGACCATCTTATTTATTTATCTTGGTGTTTTTAATACTTTTAGACTTGGTATTTTGAGAGCAGATGTCCTTGATGTGATGACTTTCAGGTTTTAGGGATAATGTGTAATAGACTTTAGATGTTGGTTTGATTGGATACTTTAACAAGTTTTGAGTTTCCGCATTTTATTGTTATTCGTAGTTAAATTATTGATATGTATTGGGATTTGGATTCTTTGGTTCGCCCACTTAGGAGGTTAAGTGTGGGTGCCACTCACGACTCGTTTTGGGTCGTGACATTCTCTCAGCACCTTCCAACATGTAATACATAACATAACACGTGTAGCTCACACTATTACAATAATTATGTGGTTAGATGTTAGAGAAAATGATGTTTTAGAATTCATGAAACTCTTTCTTTGAGTTAATAAAAATGGTAAAAATGATGGATTTTATAAGTTATGTGGGCTCCATCGTTATATTTAACAGTTTTTGGGGGTAAATGGTTAAGTTTAGGGTAAACGACTAAATTGAATACATTTTGTCATACATAAATGACTATTTCAATCACCTAAAATATATTGAGGACCAAAATAAAGCAACCCAATACATTAAGGATCATTTTGATCATTTTCTCGAAATATTTATCTTCTTCTTGAGTAACTCAAAAGAAGAGTAATTCATGTTGGCTGAAAACTTACGATCAAGAAACAACAAAGAAGAAGAAGCTAATTTCCTCTGAAAAAGTAAGTTTGTCGATCGTATTCCCTTTCGTTTTTCACTAATTTTATTTTGGTGTTGAAATTAGTTGTTAGCCAATTTTGGGTGTTGTGATTAAAGCTTGAAAATCTTGGATTAGATGATTGATTTTAATTTGATTATAGTTGCGGCTTCATAATTTCCTCTGAAAATGTAAGTTTATCCATAGTTTTTCGCTTTCATTTTCTATCATTTCTTTCTCTCATCATTTTCACTTATTTGAAATAAATTGGGTTTATAGTTTGGGTGTTGTGATTAAAGCTTATTTTTGTATGAATCTTGGATTTTCTTCGATTACCTGACTGATTTTAATTAGATTATAGTTGTGGCTTCATAAGCTTAAAGCTTAAAATACATCGTTTTCTCTTTCGTTTCTTTCGTGTCTTTGAGTAATTTCATTTTAACAAGTGTTCATCAATTCCAGGGGTGGCTCAATGCCTTTAAAAATGAGGCATATGTCTTAGCCCGAAATCGAAAAGCCTAATTTAACATTAAAGAATGTTTCTTTTTTATGGATCAATTTTTAAATTTAACTTCTACATAATATGTTTAAGATCATAAGATTAAAAAAATTTGATATATATAGTTTAAGACCATAAAAAAAATAAAACTTTTTTTATTAAAAAATAATAAATAACTTGAATCTCAGATATAAAAAAAATAATTAAAATTTAGGCCTCCAATTTATTTTTGACTTTAGGCTTCTAATTAGCTTGAGCAGCCACTGATCAATTCTTGGCTTAGGTGGCTAATTTGACCATGTGAACAGATTTTTCTTTTGATTCCCTTTTTATGTTTTGCCGGTAAATTATTCGTTTACTTCTCGTTTTTGTTCTTGAATTCTTGGATTCGATGAGTAATTTTAATTAGATTACAGTTGAGAGTGTGAACACTAATTTTATTCATTTTTTTGACAATGTGATTTTGTTGGAGATACTTGTTTTGTGTTTTCATCATTGTTTATGTTTTACAAACAAATTATGATGGATCAAGAGAAGGATGTACCCAACAATCTTCCTGATGATGTAATTGATGAGATTCTTATGTGTCTGCCTTTTCGAGATGCTTTCTGCACAAGTTTTTTGTCCAGAGATGGACAACACATTGGTGTAGAACTCCATACCTGACGCTTCATTCTTGGAAACCTCAGATCCTTAGAGCCGCTATCCAAGAAATTATCACCCGCCATGATGGATCAATTACAAAGTTTACCCTTTGCATTCAGTATTCGAAAAGCTACCCTCGTATTAGCAGATTATTACATATCCCCTCTCTCGAGACTACCATTCAACATCTTGTTCTTAGACTTTCCAAACAATTCGATTTGCCTTGTTCATTTTTCAAATGTTTGACTTTAACTCATCTGTTTCCCCAAAACTGTTTATTACTTCCTCCACCAGAGTAAATGTTGCTTAATAACTCATTCTATTGCATTTTGGCCTTGGAGTCATCCTGATTTTTGGCTTGTTCTTCCTAGGTCCTTTCTACAGGCCAAGAAATACCAATAAAGCTTCCCGTTGATATGTTGTGTGTCAAAAGTCTTTGCATGTGTATTCGTCTTGACACGAATGGGATTTTGTCTGCTCTTTGCTTGATAAGAAGCTTCCCATTTTTACAATATCTGGAAATTCAGGTTCTCTTTTTATTTCTCTTTTCTTCTTTTTATACTCAAATCATCAATAAGGTTACGTAGTTGAGTTTTGATGTCTTTCTTAGATGAAGTTCAATGTTGATCACACTACGCCAGTTCTAGATTGTCTTGAAGTGGAATTTTTACAGAATGTGGAATTTAGCTTCAGAATGTGGAATTCCAACACCTAACAGTAGTTAAGCTAAAAGATGTTAATGACAGTATGCAGGAGATGCAACTTATCAAGCTTCTGTTAGCCAAGTCTCCGAAGTTGGTGAGAATGTCAATCAATCTCCAGATTCTCTTGGAAGAATCTCGAATATTAAATAGAATTGTTGAATTTAAGCGTGCATCTCGTAAAGCAAAAGTTGTCTTTATACATGTTTGATGAGAGACGATGATGTTTGGGTAAAACTTTGATTTTGTATTTGAAGATAAATAAGATAGAAATGAATGTTGATACAGTAGAAGTTGTGTTTTGCCCAATTGCCATTATATTGAAAGAAACACTAGCCAGTATGGATCATGGTTTCTTTAAATTTGTCTTTACTGTTACATTACAAATGTAGTAATTATCACTTATTGGTTGTTAGAAAGGAAGTGGATAGTATGTATCTCAAAAGAAAGTATTCCTTTATGGAGAGTTGTGTTTCAGTGAGCTAGTAAAAAGATTGGGTTGCATCTCTAAAAGCCTAGTGAAATTGCAAAAAGAGAATTTATAGAATTTTTCCACTCAAACATCTCTTTTGCCCCGAAACGCAAGGCCATATTAGGATGCCCAAGTGATGAGATTCACTCTAGTTAACATTTGAAACAAATCAATTACTACTTCTTTTTCTTTTATTCCTAACCACCGATCAACTTAGATCTAACTTCACCCAAAACCTGCTAATAGCCCCAGTAATCATTTCGAATTTCATCATCGAACTTCTTCTTCAGCTCAGGATGCTTCTCAAAGTATTCTTCAGCTGTCATCGTACTAAGTTTTTTCTGATCATCAAAACAAACGATAAAGGGTTCACTGATAAGAATATATATACATGGAGAAATAAGGTGAAATGAAGACCTTCAACTCTTGCACGTCTGCAACTTCTTTTTCTAATCTTTCAGATTCCTTCAGAGATTTCTGCTCCGCTTCTTTCAGCTCCACCAACTACAATTATTGTAACAATTAGAAAGAATAAACCAAAAATATGCAAATTTAACCATGTTATTCTTGTGTTAATCGAAACTTCTGAAAAGAAGGTACACAAAGGGGGTAATGATTTGGCATTTTCATCGAATCACCATTAACATGTCAATTTGGCTTCAAGCAGGTGCATATTGTAACTGATATTCTAACAATTCCACTGACAACAAAGGAGAGTGTCTCAACTTTATTTCTGTTAGGGAAAATATTTTTTGATAAAATGATTCTATTGAAATATGTACTTCATGTATTTTTTTGTTTAATCATTTTCATTTTGCTCCAATAATTTTTACCTATTTTTATGCCAAAAGGTGAATTCCTTTCTGTAGCAACAACACTAAAACACAAGGACAGTTTGTAGGATTTGAGCAATTGAGAATTCCCTATATCAATTTTCAACTAATTATTATAGGTATGACTATACCAATAACAAGTAGGTAGAAGAAAAAAACTAATGCAAAGAAAGGTAAGGATGGCGATTATTGTTTTTCCACTTACCAAGGCGTCAAATTTGGGTTTATATTGAGGAGTCACCGTATCCACAAACTTGGGGATCTCAACGCCTGAAAGAAACATTGTTAAGAATCTACACAAGACAGTTGAAACAGTTACAAAAAGCCAACAAACATCATTGGAGTTTGACATAAATACAGGATGTGAGCTAGCTCTTTTGCTCCAAAACAAGAATTTCCCTCTGAGAAGTAGATCAAAAATAAGAATTTCCCATTGCATAACATTAGCTTGACTGAAGATTGTGCTGCTACATTATTTTGCTAGCTGTAAACTCATACATTTTTTCAAAGAATCAGTTTCCCAGAGTGGAAAAGGTCCCACGGTTATCTTGTGAAGGAACTTTTCATCAACTCCGACAGACTTTTTTGGGCATCAGAAATATTTGAAGATAATCTCTTAAAATCTTATCCAAGATCTATGACAAATGCTAGCTTAGTGACATATAACTCTTAAAGTTTTATTTATCCTTAATGAGATGATTTATAGTCACCACACAAACATCCCACAAACACACTCACAACCAAACGACGATTTGCCCTTAAGAAAGTTGTCACTCTATGTATAATTGGGCATCGCCAGAGCCATTTCATACATTTTTTTCAGTTCTTAATTATGCTCAGCACAAGCTCATACAGTATAGTAACTCCATCGACGACCAACTCATGCACTAATAAAACCAGAATTTTCTATTATCCTTGCAAAGAGTATAAAGACAGACAGAATCCATTTCTCACAAAGCTGGCACTGTATCCTTAGATAAGGCATCTTGCAGACTTGACAATAAGAGAGACAGATAGATAAATTTTCTGTAACTCGACTCCTAGTACAATAAATATTAGTTACTTGTAGAAGACAACTTCTTGCAATGTGGCTGAAGACACAAACTTAGGCCAGGTTCATTTGAAATGTTCATCAATCAAACAATAAATGATTTGTCTAAAACTACATATTTGATGCAAAACAAGCTCGATAGAAAAGCATTTCATCCCCAATCAAGACCATGCAGGTAGTAATTGCTACTACCTCTATCCCAATTTTATGTGATGGTATTTGATTAGGCAGAGAGTTCAAGAAAGACATACTCACAGAACTTGTGGTCTAAAATATTCCTTAGATATTTTTGTGGTATAAATAATTTTGTTAAGAGGTATAATGGGAAGTGTTAAAGTAAATTATTTTTTAGATACAGAAATGTGTTATTCGTTTACTAAAATGAAGTGTGTGACGTAAATGGGATAGGAGTACAATAAAGTCCAACAATCTCAGGCAGAGCCACAGAGACATTGTTCAAAAAGTGATCTCAAGGAAAGGATTCAGAAACTATGAAAGTCAAAAATTTCAGATATTTTAAACTGAATTAGGGCGGTACATATTGTACATCCAATGTGCATATTACAGTAGATGCATCGACTGATAAATATCTCACTCAGGCACATGGAACTCATGAATTAAACCACTAACAAAATGAAACTCACACATTTTTTGAAGGAAGGTAACTGTACTTCATGAAAGGAAGGTAACTGTACTTCATGAAATAAGCCACTAAAAATGTAAAGAAAGCTTCAGACTTTTCACATTTAATCACACAGTTCACCTACATAGAAAACTATATCACGAAATCCTACACCTGAGAAATCTTACAAGGACCACTACTCTGCTTAGTAGTTTTGTAGTTTTATGGCCAAGAGTTTGAAGTCAAATTCTGAGAACCAAGAGATGTAAAATTCAAGGTACTACAAGAGAAATAACATTAAAGGTACCACGAGACCATGCTAATAAAGTAGGAAAAAAAAATTCCAAACAGAAAAAGAGAATCTGAAACTGCACATACTGTCATAGGCCTCTTTGTACATGTCTACCAAGCGAGAACCGATTCCTTTTCTGTAATACTCCCAGTTGATAGGTTCAGGTTCCTGCTTGGTATAGAAGTGAAGAACACTCTAGCGTTAGAGCCTCTAAATTTATAATCCAAATAGAGAAAACTATCTATCTGAAAAAACTTACAAAACAAGTGATTAATCGGTAACACTACACTACTCCATGAATTATCCATGGTTAGCGATCTTTTCTAGTTGTTTTGAAAACTCACAAGTACCATTTGGTTAAAAACAGACCTCAATAGGGACAGAGACTTAAGAGTCACTTCACAAATGTAAATACCATTATATTTATGCGATAACTCTTCCGATACGAATTAAAAGTTGAGTAGTTCTTTTTAGTGAAAAATTTATTAGGTATCAAAATACAAAATTTGATAAATGACAAACCCGCTCATTGCTATCTTTTTTAACAAAAGTAAATGTGTCAATGTGCATCTGAGACTTGGTTACAAGGTACTTCCCTATACAAGAAACCTGCAAAAGTACAGGTCAGCAATGATAGCATTTACTAAAATAATTCAATCAAAAGCTTTTCGCAAAGAACATTGTGTTCACTTAAGAAGCAGTTGAATCTCTATTGCTTTTGGTTCAGGTCATGGAGGGTAACCTGATTATTTATGATGAAGAGGATGCGTTTCTAGTGAATAATCCAGAGTTCTCGCATGGTCCCTCCAAAACCAGGTTCCTCAAGAACCATGATGTGAATGTTGAACATTGCATTTTCTATCCAAATGACTCTTGTATAATTCTCTAAAGTTTAGCCATAACAATTTAGAAATACTAGTAAAGGTTTCCACATTATCCAACATGTCTTCCTTTACAAAAAAAAAAAAAAAAAGGAGAGAGTAGAGGCACCTGCAGTTCTTTCAGTTACAGATTTCATTCCTTCAATCCTCGCTCATCTTCTCCTTATTTATTAGTTTTAGTTGGTATTTGCGTAGTATCCTTTTCTTCTACTTTTACTACTGCATTTGCATAGTTCAACTTGCTATTTTGTGGGACTAAATTGAGTTTATTGTAGAAATAAGGGAATAACAAGTACACAGGCACAATACAAAAGAACCTATTAATGGTTTCTTCTGCCTTTATATACAAATATAATAGTTAAAGAACCTATTAATGGTCTCTTGTTCCTTTATATACAAATATAATAGTTAAGGGATTTGTCCAAGAACCTATAGCATAAGCCTTTGAGGACTAATAGAAAGGATGCACATAAGCACCCAAGAATATGGCCTAGTGGTAAATAAAGTGAGTTGAGAACCATGAGGTCTCAAGTTCAAAATCCAACAGAGGCTGTGATTTCTTCACATCGGTCGAAGCCTTAGTGCATAGAGGTTACCCCGTATCTGATTTATCATCTAATCAGTCAGCCATCAACTGATTGAAGCAAGCTCTTTTTTTATTCAATTCCTTTTATTATCTTTTGCCACTTCAATTCCCCACATTCATGTAACCAACTAATACAACAAATGCAAGAGTACAAATGGCAACGTTCACCACTCTTCAAACCATAACCATATTATAGAGATCATTCCTAATAAAACAATCATGTTAAATCAATTTTAATGGAAATCAGCCCCGTAAATTTTCTAGTTAAACATCCCAAAATCCAATAAAATCAATCCCAGCATAACAACTCAATCCTTCAACAAAAACTCCACCTTCTTCCCACCATTTCCCATGAACTGTTAATTGACATAAAAACATTCATACTTGACAAATATGAAACAGCTCATGCTTTAGTCAACCAAATTAGTAATTCACCAAATAATAGATCCAAAAACTACAGAATAGCAAAACTAACAATCTAAATCTAGATCCATATACAGAAAATATCTATGAAAAAAATGCAGATAGAGAGAAAGAGGAAACCTGGCTGAACTTGGTCTGAAGTTGGGAGTTGACATCATCGAAAGCGCGACGGAGATTGGAGAACTCCTTGCGAGCTTCATCGGTGACAAGAAGCTTGGCCATTCCTTCCCAATCAATAGTCCTGCCGGCCTTGAAAGTCACGTCGGCGATCTTCTTCACTGAACCGCTCATTTTCTTGCAGTCTAAAAGTATTTGCAACAATGTCGCTTGTTATTTCTATACTATCGATCAAGCTTCAAAAAGAAAAAGAACGAGGCTCAGAGAAGCTGGAAAATAATCATTCGGCTGTGTGCCTATATGATTATTTACGAGGGCTTCGCACCACTAGGATTTTTATCATTTTCCTTTATTTATTTATTTTTTTAATTTTTCTTTTCCGTTTACGTAGTTTTTTCTTGTCCACTATATTAAAAAGAAGTAACTATTTTTATTAATTTAGTTTTGTTATAAAATCAATCTCAAGATAATATAATTATAAAGAGAAAAAGGCAAGAAATGTAGATAAAAGAGAGAACTTCTCTTCTTATTCAGAGGTGTTCTCCAAATGGTGAATGATATCTCTATTTATAGTGTTGAGATATCATACCCAAAGGTCACCTTGTTAAAAGCCAAACTAGTAGATATATAGTTATCCACCAAGGTTCATATCACCTTGGAATTATACATACATGAATTCATCAATTAATTCTTGAAGTAATCAAATGGACAATCCACAATTCAACGGATTTATGACACTCCCCCTTGGATGTCCATAGATAATGTGCCTCGATAAAACTTTACTAGAAAAAACTCTGTGGGAAAAGATTCTAGTGAATGATGAGTACACGTATCTTTTGATACGCATTATTTGTTGCCTCATTAAAAACCTTGTCAGGGAAACCCAGTGGGACAAAACCTCGGTCAAGGAAAAAAGAGTTCAACGTGTATTATACTCCTCCTGATTAAAACATCACTTAATTTCTTATGATGATGTCATCCAATCTTATATACCAACTTTTCAAATATTGACAGTGTCTTTGTGATCAAATCATATTCACGAAGATGTTGCATGATTGAACTCATCTTGATATATCATTTTCTAGATTCATGGATATGATGAGGCTTTGAGTTTAGCCGAATACATTCTTGAAAATCACTATATTTGTGACCTCGTTGTTGCAAGTAAATTGTTCATTCAACTTGTTCATAGCAACAATCATCTTGTGGACACTTTCATTTGCAGTTGACTATCTTGTAGAATAACTTTAAATAAATGTCTTTGATGCCATTTCAATGTCTTCTCGTTGGGGAGAGGCAGAATCTTGTCAACAAATTCACTGCAAAATATTTGATCGTATATAGTAAGGTTGTACCGACCGGGTTTCGTTATAGAAAAGCCAACGGGGAAAAATTTTGGGTTGAAAAACTTTTTCGTAGTAACTTGGAATTTCCCAACCTAGTCCAGATTAGGACGAAATTGGAGTCTAGGAGATCTAGGGAAATCTTGTAGCAATTGGGTGATCTAATTATGAATTTGATCATATGAGTAGATAGATAAGTCGTTAAGGAACTCGTACGACTTTACAGAATTGAATTCGGGTGAGTAGAACTCCCGAAATTGATCATAGCATAAACGGGTACTTTCTGAGCGTCATTGGTTGAAGGTGTGTTGTGAAATGGGGATATTGAAATTATTAAAATAGCTCATTGTTTCGTGCAAGCCGCTTTGGCGGTGATTTTGGCGGCCAGTGCGGGGCCGCTGTAGCGAGGTGATGACCGTTGTAGCGGTCCAAACGCGACTTAAAGTTGTAAATAAACCCCAAAAACGTTTTATTCTGCAATTTTTGAATTTGAGGGCTAAGGAACAAACCATGGCTTTTCTTAACAGTTTTCCACCATTTTTGAGGATAAATGTAAGATTTTAACTCCCCGAATCTTTTTTTCGATCCGTAGAGCGTAGTCTAATGGATAATTATCGATGGGGGAGGGTTTTGATCTAGAAACTATGATGGAAAAAGCCCTAATTGGGATACTTGGGATCATGGGTATGATCTAGGGTTGTTAGAATTGTTAGTAATCCAGGTAATTGGTGATTGTTTATTGATTCCCATATTATACTAATTGTTTGTAGACCAAGAACAAGCGGAAATAATTCGGAAAGGGAAGGATCAAGTTTCTTAGGGTTTCAAGCTTGTTTCGAGGTAGGTGATGGTTATGATTCTATGAGTGTATGATGTATGTTGTCTTGTTTCATTATGATACATGCATGTATGTGGATGTTGCATTATTGACCACACGTGTTGTAAATGAGGATATATGATTGATGAATGCCATTGAATCGTGACTTGATTGTATGATTATGAGAATGTACTTGTGATTGTGATTGTGATTGTGGCTTGTTGAATGGATCGGGTGTTGCGTTCCAACACACTAACTTGGATCGGTTTCCACGTTTCGGCATAATTATGAGATCGGTTGCCATGTTTCGGCATAATCATTGGATCGGGTACCACGTTCCGGTATGCTAACTGTTTGGGTTTAGGTTCCATGAGAGGACCAATGAGTTGACATAAATTGTGTATCTTGAGAAATGTGAATTGTACCTTGTTCGTAATTATTGATAATATTGTATATGTTCGATATATGTATGTGATTATATTGTTGTATTGAATTATGTATGTTGCACTTAGTGGGATAGCCGTGTGATCCTACCAGTATAGTGTAGTTGTGTACTGATACTGCACTTGCTCTTTCTTTGTTGAGTACAGGGTATCTTCAAGCGGCTATTGACATACCTCTCTTAGAAGATTAGTGATCGTCATTCAAATTCAAGGGTGAGCCAGTTCTTCCAAGCAGCCATGAGTTCTCCTTTTTGTCTATGTCCAAATTTCAGACTTAGACTTCCTAGTTAGTTATTAGTTAATTAGTTTGGGATTGTATCCCTTCTTGTTTAGACTTGTTGAACTTTAGATGTTTTGGTACATTGACTTTCAGGTTCTAGGTGTATTTTCCGCATTCTTTAGTTGTTAGATCTTTTGGAAGTTTATTGGAACTTCAGTTTTAGCTTCTAACTTACTTCTGTAAGTTAAATGTGTTAGTATTTCAATTTAGTTGCTTGGTTTGGGTTGTAGTAATGGTTCTCCCACCGGAGGGTTAGTATGGATGCCAATCATGACGGTCTGGGTCGTGACAAAGTTGGTATCAGAGCCTACCTTCGTTGATCTTGATGTACCAAAACGAGTCTAGTAGAGTCTTGCGGAATGGTACGGGGACGCCTTTACTTTTCATCGAAAGGCTATATGACTTTAGGAAATCTCTCTATTTTCTCGTCTCCTTTCGTGCAATAACTTGATTCCAATTGGTATCTGACGATTCAAATTGGTATCTAACCTCCTTCACTCTTTTGTCCGCAGATGGTTAATACTAGGTTCAACGGCGTCAGGCCCGTAGCTCCCGTCAATGCTCATGCTGAGGAATCTGCAGCGAGAGGTCATGGTCGAGGCAAGGGTAGAGAAAGAGTTAGGGGTAGAGGCCGAGGAAGAGTGGCGCCTATTAGAGATGGGGTACCAGTCAGAAATGCTCCCCAAAATGAGGCCCCTCTTGTGCATCATGAAGAGATAGAAGAGGATATTGAGGTTGAAAATGTTGATGAGGTTGGACAAGAGGAAGAGGTGTAAGGTGAGACTACCGGTGATCCTCCCATAGACCCAGTGTTAGCTCAACAGATTATGTCATTCTTGAAAGGGTTGGTTGGTCCTGGAGTGCTTCCTTCTGTTCAAGCGACTCAAGCCCCCGCCAATCCTCCTATTGCTTATAGGGGTGGGCATAAACACCGAGAAATCGAAACACCGAACCGAACTAAATTATTTTGGTATTTCAGTTTACTGAAATATATTATATTATATTTATAATATTATTAATATTTTATTAATATCAAATAATAAATAGGCAAAAATCAATTAGGTCAAACTTTACCCTTTTACTTTTCTAATTTCTTAGCAGTTAGCAGAATAGGAAATTGGGAATAGGCATAGCAGCCGCACATTCTGATTCCACGGTCCAACTTTCCATGGTACTTTCCACGTCTTCCGGCGACTAGCAATCAACAACAAGCCAACGATCGGCCGACCAGCAAGCACCACGCAGCATCGACTGCCGACTAGCATCACGCAGCAGCGACCAGCATCACGAGCAGCCAGCGACCACTAGCGACCGGCGAGGCGGCGACCACCATAAGGTATTGTCAATATTTCTTCTTTCATTTTAAGTTACAAAGTTTCAAAATGAATATTTCCTTTTCCATTTATTTTTCTTTTTTATTTTTGCTTTTGTTACTAGTTACTTAGTTAGTGTGTGAATTCATTGTGAAATAATTTTTTTATATAGATGGCTGAACAAAATCAATTAAATGTGGGTGTGGCTGATCAAAGTTGAATAAGTATGGCTGGTTCTACGAATAATACACCTACTAATAGCAATGATGCGTCAATTGCCACCGAGGAAACAATAAAAAAAAAAGAAATGGATCCTAGATCTCCTGTTTGGCAACACTTTGAATTTTTTTTTGAAAATGGTGTATCAGTTAAAGCAAAGTGTTTACATTGTAAACAATACTATGTTGCTAATACAATTAGAAATGGAACAAGTGGACTGAGACAACATTTGACTAACCGATGTAAAGTGTATAAGCCCCCGCCTGTTGCACCTGGTATTCAAAAATTGTTAAATATTCAAAGTAACAATTCTTCGATAGAGACTTGGAAATTTGAGCAAGAGGTAGCTAGGAGAGCTTTAGTTGAGATGATAATTTTGGATGAACTACTTTTTAGTTTTGTTGAAAAAGAAGGCTTTAAGAAGTTTATGAGTAAAGTCCAACATTTGTTTCGAATTTCTTCTCATAGAACCATAACAAGGGATTCTTATGAAGTTTATGGTGAATTGAGAATAGATTTGAAAAAGTCTTTTAGAGAAATACAACCAAGAATTTGTCTCACAACAGACACATGGACTTCGGTGCAAAAGAATCAATTATATGTGTTTGACTGCTCACTTTATTGATAGGGATTGGGTGCTTCGTAAAAGAATATTAAATTTTTGTCCTATCACTAGTCATAATGGTGAGCATTTGGCTGAGTGTATTAGTAATTGTTTACTTGATTGGAATTTGGACAATGTCTTTACTGTTACGGTTGATAAATGCCTCTTCAAAATGATATGGCGGTTTTAGAGTTGTCCAAAAAATTAGATATGTGGGGAACTAATATGATGGATGGTAAGCATCTTCATGTGAGATGTATGGCTCACATACTTAATTTAATTGTGCA